TAGCTGTTATTTTCCCTCTTCTGTCAATGAGCTCTGTGTATCTGTAACACACACACACAAAAAAAACACATGCTCTTACATAGCATCACCGACGTACTGCAATACTGGGATGGCTGCTTCAGCGCTCTTCAGAGTTCTACCTGGGCAGTTCCTCTGCGTTGTCCGTTTCTGCTGTGCCTCCCAGGTCCTGAGGCTGGGAAAGACGAGGAGTGTGTCGACTCCCCTGTCCAGTGCCCACTGGTCTCTCCCTCCTCAACAACCTGCTTTCCATTGGTACTGCGTCAGAGGAAATGAACCCATTAAAACGTAACAAAAGTCGTTCAAGGTACGCTGGTTAGTAACGAAGACCGGACGTCTGACAGGAACACTTACAGGTAGTGAAGGACAAGTGCTTCGGTACGCTGTGGATCTGCTCCTGCCCTGTGTTTTTCACAGACGTGAGGGTCACATAATACTGCTGCCCCGGAGTGAGTTCACGGAAGGTGTATGATCCCAACTTCCCGTTAGGCAAGAAGCGACTCCTGGTGTTTAAGCCCCTCGTCACGTTGACCACAAAGCCATCTGGGAGGTTCCCCTGGTGCCAAGTCCAGGTGACCAGAGCTGAGTTAGTGCTGACATGTGACAAGGAGAGGTTCTGTGGGGGCGGGGGCCCTGAGGGGATACAGAGAAATGATCAGAGTGTGACATTGTTTCTCTAGTGTGTATGAATTGTTTAGATAAATATATAAAACTAATATATATATATACTGTATATTAGTATAAAATATTAATAAATATTTAAATATACAAAACAAAAATATATATATTCATATATATAACTATATGAATATATAAAAGTCTCCTTTATGTCGCACAAAGTATTTTTATTTGATGACAAATTTTGACTTCAGGTAGAACATGTTCAGGGTGTATATAAAGCCACACATCTGTTCAGAATGAATGATGTAATCCTATGATAAATTCTGGATTTAAATGAGAGTTGATATCAACCGATACTAATTTAAAGGGGGTTAAAGGGTTAAACGGAGAATACACATTATTGTAGGAAAAACTACCGATTCTTATCAATTTTACGTAATTAAGTTAATATCGGCTGATAAAATTGGTTCGCCGATATTATTGGACATCCCTAATTGCATGTCAATTTCCCAGAATTGTCCTGAGCACATCCATCTACGTCCTTCAGTTTCCTTTGCAATAGCGTCTAAGAGTCAGATTTCAGAACTCAGACTCAAAACGCAGTTTTTTTTAAACTAGCATAAATAAAGAATAATAAAATAATATCAACATCAATATGTATCAATTTCTAATCATACAGAATATCACGAAGAATGGAATGAAGCCCATGATTCATGTGTCATGTGTGTATTTATATAGGTTCATAAAGCAAAAGCGCAAGGTCAAGAGGTCAAGCGTATAGCAGCAGTGACAGGTTCACAGTGGGAAATAACCTACTGGTCCAGAAGGGGAGCGGTCCAGCTGAGTGACTGGTGGAAGGAAACTCATCAGGTCTGATTCCACTCTGAGTCAGTACATCCACTGTGTACATCTGACCGGGAAATAGTGAACTGTGAGAAAGAGGTTAAACAACTTAAAACCGTGACTGAGGTCTGACATATATTCTAAAAAAAAAAAAAAAAAGATAAAAAGAAAAAAAAAGAATGAAATGCTACCCTCTAGTGGTATTTATCACGAGTGCACAACAGCTACACTTAGTGGACTAAAGTAAAACTGCAGGTCTGAGAGGAGTTTGGTGCTGATGCTGACCTGAAGCTGTACTCAGTTGTGCTGGTGTTGAGCACTGCAGTCTGGGCCTCGCTCCCATCGGAGGGCAGTAAGGACACATGCACCCGGTCCACCGTTGCCATGGGAACCAGCCAACTCAACCAAACCTCAGATGAAGTCACGTTGACCACTTGCAGCTCCTCCACCCTGCGGGGTCCTGCACAGAAATACGCGTTAATGAACTGACCATCCACCAAACTCACAGTGACCTGAGTGGATTTTATATGAGTGCCTACTGGTTCGTATCAGCGCGGTGGCAGGCTGACTGGAGTCCTTCTTGTTATTGCCGCGTTTGACGGAGAATGTGGAAATGTTGTACAGCTGGCCGGGCGCCAGGCCCCGCATCACGTGAGCGGACTGATGCCTGTCAAGGTAATCTGTTTTAGGGTTTCCTTCCTGCAGCGGAGCGTACGTGACAGCGAAGCCGCTGATCGCGCTGTGCGACGGCTCTGGCTCATCCCAGCGGAGCTCCACCTCAGTTTCCTCCACGCGCAAAACATGAAGACCAGAGGGAGGCATCAGGTCTGGGAACAGTGGCAACCTTACATGTCTAATCCATACGTTATAAGATCACAAAGTTGTCTTTGAGAGAAAGAGGGTCGAGCTGCGCTGTGCTGCGCAGCCGAGGAAGCTGGGAGAGCACCGAGGGACTTTGACTGACCTTTCTCACAGTCTTTGCCCGTGTATCCTGTTTTGCAAACACAGTTGTAGTTTCCTCTCCTGTCGGTCCGGCAGACTCCACGGTTGCCACAGGGTTGCAGTACACAGGGGTCTTCCACTGGGTGTCGACAAAGACAAAGAGCTGCCGTTTAACAACGTGCTTCAGTAGTGGCCTGCGCTACACTGGGTGTGGGAATCAAACACTTACACATCTGGCACTGGTCCCCGAAAAAGCCAGCTTTGCAGATGCAAACGTAGTGTCGTCTGTAGCCACGACACACTCCTCCGTTCAAACAGGGGTTGAGATCACATGTATCCTGCTCTGCACACAGAAATGAAACACAGTTAATGAAAAAAAAAAAACAACTAATGTAGGTAAAATGGAATAAAAGGTTTTTTTAGTGCGATAACGTTTTCCTCAAAAGCGAGTTCTTAGGTAAAATGGATTAAAAGGTTTTTTTTTAGAGTGATAACGTTTTCCTCAAAAGCGAGTTCTTGTCAAATAATAACAAGTAATTTTATTATATATTCTGATTTATTGCAACAGAGTATATTTTCCTTTCAATAAATATTGACAAGAACGGTTTTTTAATTAGAGAGGGCTTCAAATTGGACCTTGGTGAAGCAAATTATAAATATTGACAACAACCGTTTTTCAATTAGAGAGGTTTTTTTGTAGGTCTTCAAATTGGACCTTGGTGAAGCAAATCCTGTCTACGGTCTATGTTGGACAGAAACTAGTACCAGGCTCAAAACACAGGTAAACACAAACAACATTTACAGGTACAGTAGAACACCTGGGTCTGATTACTGACTGAGTTGTTGATATATGAAAAGTTAGCGTTCTTGTATCAAAACAAGACCATGTCATCTTCTTTGGATTAATCTTTGGTCTTTTTCGAAAGAGAGGAAGAGGAATTTGCATAGTTTCCTCCCACAGTCCATAAACATGCAAAATATATATATAGACTCTCAGTTGATCAATTCTATGAATACATATTTAAATAACTTTTATACCTTTAAGAGATCCTTTATTTCATTTAACATTTCTTTTGTATTTGTTTTGTACAAATGACCCCTGTTTTGATGATGGCTAAAGTGAAGCTAACCATTCCATTTTTATCATGCTAGAGCAGACATGGGTAAACTAAGGCTCGGGGGCCGGATGCGGCCCGTTCAGCTTTTTAATCCGGCCCGCCAGACTTTTTCAAATTACCATTATACTTCTGCCTTTTTCCTGCAATACCTACGTTTCCCCAATAGATGGTGTAGAAAATGATTTTAGCATTTTAGCATTTTAACCTTTCTGCACGACTTGCACATGTACGCCCCATCTTACTGCTCCTGACCGGCCCCCCTGTTCAATTTACGACAATTGTGACCCGCCAGTTATAAAGTTTGCCCACGTCTGAGCTAGAATAAAGGACCAAGGCACATCATTTCACTATTAGCTGTTGCTAATTCATTGCACCACTGTGCATTTCATCATCTAAGAAGAACAGTACCTATGTCGCAGTTTTGGCCTTTAAAACCTGGCGCACAGTGGCACAGGTAGGAGCCCGGCTGGTCTTCGCACGTCCCTCCGTGTTTACAGGGTTCTGAGAGGCATTTGTTGTTGTCTTAGAGAAGATGAAAGCACATATTTTTATAAGTTAGGACACAAAATATGTACGGATGTGAATAGATTTCAATTTAATTTAGGAGCTCGGTTGTACATGTTTGACAGCGATTTCCAGTGAAGCCCTCATTGCAAACGCACTTGTAGGATCCAACCTGGTTATGACATGTGCCGTCGTTGAGGCAAGGCTGCGACAGGCACTCATTGACCTCTGCGGTGACCAGAAACAAAAGAGCGTCTGTAACAAGATGTTGCTATTAAAAAAAACAAGCACTTTCACATACACGTGTGGGTGTTACACACCCTCACAAAGAGGTGGCTGGCTCCAGTCTCCCTGGATTCCACAGATGCTCTGGGTGGCTCTGGGCACGGACATGTAGCCCGAGTGGCATACGTACACGGCCACTGAGCCTGGTGTTGTTGACGAGAACTGGATCTCGGCGTGTTTCACTTGCGGGGGTAGCCCGCAGCTCAGGACTAAAAACACACATGAAAGTAAAGTTAGCGTGGCTACTTAGCAACGCCAGCTTCCAATCCTGGGATTCGTGTAGGTCACTCAGAGGTTAAAATCCAAACAGCAACAGCGATTTTCCTGCTAAATTTATCTTCCGGCAAAAAGCCCCCAGGTGTAATCAGGCCCTGCTTTATATAGTTTATGCAGCCGTTCTATATCTGTGCAGATGTAGCCATGTGTGCAGCAACGCGCTAAGATTAACTTCAGATGGACGGTGTGTCTGCGCACTTAGCAGCTCAGGATTTCCTCTGCCTGGGCCAAAATATGGAACTGGATGTAGGTTTAAAAATGTTTTTTTTTAAAAAAGGCAGTGATGTAAACAGTTTTGGCCATTAAACACGTTTTTTTCTTATTACAGATATTGCCATGTACAAAAGAGTAAAACTTTCTATCTATCCATCCATCCATCCATCCATCTAC